TGAGCTCCTGAGAGAGATAGGGGAAGAGCGGTAGCTCGGTTTTACCCTCTAAGGACATTTAAAGATTAAAAATAAGTCTCTTCCGCGCAATTTTAGAGGCGCAAAGTGTAATAAAGTTGGTTTAACACTGGAGGCCGCATGAGGGGACTGATCAATGTTAATCACCTTTGATATTTGTTCTACTCTTGGTGGGAAACTTTTGACTGGAAGGAACCTCCGAAGAAGGAGCTAGGCACATGCTGTCCAAAATGAAAATTAAGCTTTACCGGGATGCAGAAGTGTGGTATTTGCGTGCCATGTGGGTAAAAATCTGTCTGAAGACTCTTCAGCCAGCCGTCAAAACCTGTTTACTTTCGAATGTTTATTCGTTTCATCGGATGTAAAGAAAACCCGGCATCCTGGCCTCTTTCAGTACGATATTTTACACCACATATCTTCGTTAGGAGGTGTGGGTAATGGTTCTGAAATATCCATTTCAAGACTTATCTATCGCAGCAGAAGTTAGCTAGTCTTGATTAGACTGGAGTGGGTCCATGTCGGGAGAGGGGCAATACTGTAGGCTTAGTGGTGTTGGCACCTGTAATCAACCTCCAGCCAGTTTTGTTTTATGAGTTTTCATGTTCACAAATTTCATTATCATGAAAGGAACCGCACACAAACACTTTGGTTTGATGCAACGAGTCCGTGAATCTCTGTCGCTAGATTTGTGTAAGCTAACAGACCGGCACCACTATTGAAACATGCACATTTGTCAGGGAGAATTTTAACGTTGACGGAAATGACCCTCTTGTTTAGCGCCAGTTTGTCTGCACTGGTTAGGTGTTGGTAACATAATGTCGGAAAATAGCTAACAGTTTTCGACCATTCGTTTGGAGTGATCATAATGAACCATATCGACCTGCTTCTCGTATTACCGCATTAGATTATCCAAACATACCTGCAAACGTGTAGTCAGATCCTCCTTCTTGAATGGATCTTATCTTGACGATTTCATTCAGTAGTTGGCTTATTTCATGCTAACCTCTAAAGGATTTCTGAAGTGTCCCGAAAAACCGATTCCTTCAATATACATGATATGTGGAATGCTACTTTAGAGCGAAATAATGAAATTTTCGTGAGGGTAGTCTTTATTCGGAGAGTTGGCACACTAAACCGTGCATTTTTGTGTTTGGATTTATCCGTTATTTAGTGGAATAGTTTCTTTTTAAAGTTATTTTGATTTGATGTGCAACATTAAGCTTTTTTTCAGAAACCCTGGTTTCTAATGCTTACACATACTTACGATGTATTAAATGAGGGCTAGCGGTGATGAACACCCTGCGCTAAGGAATGAGGAGATCCAATGTATTGGAACCAGTGGCTTACACAAAATGCCGGAAGTTCGGCCAAGAATTTGACGAATGTGTTATGTAGCAACTAGTCGAACTCTGCTGCATTTCTTAGGCTTGGATCGAAGTTTCGTTTGAATGTGTATTATCAAGTGAGAGAGAGATGGCTCAAGTGGTTAGAGCGCGAATTTACTGATCGGAAGGTCAGTGGTTCGAACCCGACCTCTGCCTCTTGACCTCCCCTGTCTATGCTGGGCAACCCGGCAGTCAAAACCACTGCAGAGATAGTTCTGCAAAGCTCGTCTCAAGAATCACTCAAGTGGCCGCAGCCTGCTGCCTCCCGCTTCGTGGTTGAATGCCATAAAATTCGGTCACAAGTGATTGATCGACTGTGTGTGTGTTTACTTATTCTGGTTTTACTTGAAGTTTAATACCGGGAGAGTAGAACCAATAGCCTTGTCTCGGTCACTCAGTCAGTCATTTGGCCATAAACAGTGTGTCAAGGGGACAATGGTCACCCCTACTACAGCTTTATCAACCGAAATTAGAGATTGTGTGTATGGAAGTGACGCATGGGGAAAACTGAAATGTCTGCAGGTAAAGCTGACTAAAAAGGGCAGTGCACGAGAATTAATATGTTGTGAACAGGCGTATAGGAGTTTTCTGACTAAAAAGCAGACAAGGACCCTTCTTTAGAATTCCCTGCAATTAGTGACCTGTTTCAGTGACTTAGTTGAGAAGCTCTGCATACCACCAGCTCATTTCTTGCCACTTATGGGAAAAACGGCCCGGTGAGTAACTCACCAGGAGTCCAAACCCAAATCATGATCTTCAGACTGTCTACTACATCTAAGTTTGCTATAATGCCACGTTCCAACCAATGATTTCCGTCGAAACTGCAGTCGAAAAGGCTGTTTGATTGGCGCTGCCAGGGTGTGCCTCAGTCACCAGGTCAGCTCTGTCACTGCCGCAGAGAAAGCGGGTGGTTCGCTATCGTGTCCTGACCGCACATAAGGGCCACTGACACACATTGATCATTTGGTTGACTAAACTGCGTTGGTTTGATCACTTACGCACGTTCATCCGCACACCCTGCCAGATGGGCATTCCGCCTGTTGGTATGTCTATCCCACCTTGAGAGGATCCGGTGCCGTGTCCCGCTCCTAAGCTCCTGACATAGTTGCACCGCTGTGTGGCTTGCGGATTGGACACGAGGACCGATCTGGTGATCTACACTTGCCACACACTCCAACCCCGAGAAGGGTTTGATGTGGATGTGTGCGTCAGGTGCGTGTTTACGTGCGAAAACGTGGTGTGCGTAATGGTCGCCCGAAATGTGGTCAAAATGCCTGCTTATCGAGAGTGCTGGGATGTGTTCGTACCTAGCGCTGAATGGTTCCCACAGAATGATTCCCACTGAACAGTTTGACCGAACACGAAACTCTGGAAGGCATTGTTGAATCGTTTATTCCATTGATTAGGCACAGATAATGGCAATGAATCAAAAATTCCGGTCGACAATCGAAAGCACTCCTGAACTCAAAGCATATCGAGACGGTGGGGTGCCTATACGAACGCCGTTGCTCTAACACTTAACGGTGTGGAAATGTGGTCCACACAGCTTCCTCCTGTCCAGAATCCTGCTTGCTGTTCCGTGGTTCCGTCTTCACGCGTCCTTACGGGACAATGTGAATTAAGCATCTCAAACAATCTCGTTACAAAGGGGGTCAATTTAATTCCTCTGTGATAGCACAGAGGAATAGCACACTCACCACGAGCGCCGTTTTCGAGAACAGGCACCGCCGGCGACTCACTCCAGTTGTTTGGGACAATTTCCTTATACAAGATAGAGGCAGGTAATTTAGACAAGCATCAATTGAGGATTTTACCTCCATCTTTCAACAGGGCGGGTTGGAGTCCTCCAGATCGATCACTCGGTGACGCTAAGGAGAGAAAAGACCCGCTGCAGAATACGAATACATTATACTAAGGAATCCCTTGACAGAAGGTTTCTTGGGAAGCGCTTATTATATAAGAGAAAATTCAAGTTGTGTTGCATTTGTGTAGACCAAACCGTGACCAATTGGTTCTCCCACATTATTCTCTTTGAGCCAAATTGCCTGGCTGTTATCACTAGGTATCGTGGACCGAAACTTTTTATTGTAGCAGGATGGAATTCTGTACAGATCCCAAACCTGGATGGTTGATAGGTGATCCTAACTGCGGCAGACCCTAAACATCCGGAAACTCAACATGGCTGCTGATTTTATCATCAAGGAAACAAAACTTACTTTACTCAATACATGTTCTCTCGTAAGATAGACATGTATACACTTTCATTGCAGTTCGCTTCCGGAAAAAATCCTCCATGTCAGGGATTGTGGCAACACTTCCATCGTTAATGACATTAACCTAACTGGGCGCACGTTTCAAATACGAACGATTAAAAACAACCGATTGGGGGGTCATTAGCCGTACAATGATCTCAGCGGCAAAACCTTTACGAGTGGAATGTTGCATTTTGTTGCGTATGTGCTCAAACCAAAAACTATCCTGAGTTACGTTCATATCTTTGCAGCTCGCCAAATTTCGTTGTCCACTGAAGCAATCATACCTCTTGCAGAAAGTCTGATGGAATAATTTTCCGGCATTGTTGAGCCCCCGGGAGGCTTCACTGGGGCTCAAAAGTTTGGACTGATACTCTGACCTCAGTTGCCCGATTGCTTTAGTCCATCATGGACACGTCATAGCTTTCAAAAATTCTATTCCATTGTGCGACTACTGAGCGCCACCGATTGGCAAGTAGTGAGAAGATTTTGAATTCGGTGCAAGAGTCTACCATGCAAGTGAAGTCGCTGCACACTTAAATCACAGAAGCAATTTGACAGATTGGAAAAATCCCATATTAGGCATGAACCTTCCGTGGGAGACGTAGCGATTAGAGGTGTTTGTCAATATTGGGTCACGTGTGAGGGGTGTAGATGCTGACAAGTCACACATTCGATCAATCACTTGTGACCGAATTTTATGGCATTCAACCACGAAGCGGGAGGCAGCAGGCTGCGGCCACTTGAGTGATTCTTGAGATGAGCTTTGCAGAACTATCTCTGCAGTGGTTTTGACCTTTCAGCACAAACTGATTTGAGTTGCAGGATGCAATTTCAAATAAAATATGGTTAAAAACCACTCAATGCTTATGCTCTGCTTATTCCACATCGTGAATCTCATTTCTGAATGCGGATGAGTTGGACTTGAATGTGAAAGACTTTGAAGGCCCCGACAACAAACAGATCGATAGACCAGATTTTCAGACCCACAACTGTCCAAATACGTGTGGACTAATGTAAATTGTCACCTCAAAATCCCTAATTGTGTGAAGTAAACCTTAATGAAGGGTTTGAAAATCCTCCTTTCTCCAATTATCGCCATTCATGCAGTTTCTTCTCAGTTGCGCTTGCGTCCTGTCAGTGAGGCCAGTCTGTGTTAAAAAGCCTACCAGTCGTTTCATTTTTATTGGGGAGCATCACCAGTGCTCGTCTCACGAAACTCAGAGAGCTTCGAACCCAAGACTGGTTGAGCACTTAGACTTTCGGCCTTCAGCGGTCGAACGACATTGTGATAAGCTATCATTCATAGATGATATAGCATTGTTAATCCCCCATTCATAGAAAACACACCACCCGATTGACTTCTGGGGTGATTGGTTCTCAGATAGAAGTCACGCACATCTTGTGAAATTATTCTTTCTTTGAGCCACTTACTGATTGATCGTAGCGTGAGAAGAGTTCATAATTTTCTTTTGTTTCTTCTCACCCTTACCAATTGATCGTACCTGGCCAAATTACGAACCGGTGTGCTTCATCCATTTACGCAGATGATTCCATCTTTTTCCCTCAACAGGATCCCCATCAACATGAAGTCAAACGAGACATGGAGAAATTACTGGAGCTGTAAGTTGTGGGTAATTCCTGCCATCTTCTCCATTGATTGAAACATATCTTCACATATGACTTCCTGTAATACGATACTACACTAGCTGGTTGCAAAACGCCCTGTCCATTGGATGCAATTGAACTAGAGTTGACTAAAATTGTCATTAGACCCCGCATGTTTTCTAAGGATCCTTGCTATATGAAGGTAGGTACCGAGAGAACGCTTGGGCATAAGAGTGAACTAATGAAGAGCTTCTTCAGTGTCTTCAGCGGGATTTGTGTTGATCACTGATAGGAAGAAAGCAATGCGAACAGAACTACAAACTCTCATTCACTATGAAATTGCTTAGCCTGGATGAAAAACACTCTGATGAACAGGGAGGGCATGAATCGCTAACGCAGCAGCAACAGGCGATTCATTTGGCTACCCTCTTTCTCTTGTGATGTAATAAGTTGTCAACATCTAAGTTTATTGCCCTCTATTGTCCAATCGGTAAAAGCAGCCATAACAAACTCTGCATTGTCTCCAGCTGATTCCAAAAAGCTTGGTGCCATTTTGAGATTAACTCTCATTTAACAGGCTTGGTTGAACAATTGTGTAGCCCACATTATGGTTCCCTGCACGCGGTTCATGCATAACGCTGGAGGAAACAAACATGTTGTCTTCTTAATCCCACAAAAACACTGATCCCACACCGCTAGTGTCAACCAGCCACTGATACTCATGTAGGATAGCTCATGTGCTCTGTTTTCGGTTTGCTGTGAGCATCATGTCTGATTTGCACCACGCATTTCGGTGAAAATGAATTACCCAGGTAGTTTGACATCCTCGCTCAGATGGAAGTAATATCTTCTATCAAGAGGCTGAAATAAGTCAAACAGTTGTTTTGCAAAAAGAAATCACACAGGTAATGAACGTACTCAACGTGTGCGCGTTGATCACGTGATTCTAGGGAAAAAAAGAGAGTCGACGCCGATGCCGTTCTTAGTGCAACAGAATCGAACATTGTCCTTACGGAGACATGACACGGTTAGTTTCCAGTTCTTGATTTACCTCAAATGTGAACTGAGACTAAACACTACCGTTGAGATAGGAGGACTGGAATGAATTCCCTGACGACTTACTACCACCTTCGAACTTCTCATACTCATCAGGCAGTGTTAGCCCTCGAAATTCTTTAGAATAGCCTTCTTTCTTGATAAACACGGACGTTAGATTCTAATGGAGTCGTCTGAAAATAGTCAGAAGGCTTTGGTTATCCATGCCGTTCTACTTCTCCGTTGATCGATTAAGTTGCCAAACA